AAAAAAAAAAAAAAAAAAAAAAAAATGTGTCCTTAAGAATTGTAAAGCTACTTGCTAAATAGTCACCCTTACTGAATTCTCAGATTCCTTTATTAAAATTACTTAATAAATCAGAACTCCAATATGGAATCTGTATCAGATTAACTTCTGTAAAATTTGCAAATTTATAAACTCTTTAATGGTGCATTTCAATTCTTTGGTACATTATAATGAAAATCAGAGTTTTTAAAATTTAAATTGAATTTATTGGTACATTCTAGGTATACAGTACAGTTACATTCGTTACTGGGATCTTGTACCTTTACATGCCAGGTCTTGGTTCTCCTTTATTCCCCTTGTCCCCACCCTCCCTTCACCCCCATCTCACTGTTCCTACACCTTTAGCCCTTTTCTTCCTATTTCACATTGCTAATTATCCCATTAGGATCTTGAGTACTATTTTAGTTTTTCACACCAGAGAAACTATTCAGTATTTATACACGTGTGACTTATTTATTTCACTTAGGAGTATATCCTCAAAATGTATCCATTTACCTATGAATGGATCTACTTTCTCATTCTTTATGGCTGAGTAGTATTCCATTCGAAAACCAGAGTTTTAAAGTAATCTTCCTGATAATAAAAACTCCTCACTTTTGCAGCACAGATTCGTATCACTTCCTAAAAAAATACAGTAGAATAAAGAAATATTCATAATTTCATCCAAGTAATGAACTAATAAATACAGATGTCACTCTTATAATAACCAAAATCAGGACTTGTAAGTATATTTTTAATCAGCCTACAGTCTGCATTATTTCCAGGAGGGAGGGAAGAGCATATATTAAAGAAAGAGACTTAATGAAAGATGGTGGACCTCGGAATCCAAATACCTGGACTGAATCCCACCATCAATGCTTACTACTGTGTGACCTTGGTAATTCTGCTTGATCTCTGCAGCCCACAAGCTGCTCTTCTGGAAAGCGGGGATAATACTAGTGCCTCTATTGCTCTGCAAGATAATTTGAAGACTGGATCTAATAAAAATGTAAAGCACTTAGAGCAGTGCCAAAAATATGTCAATTATTACTAATAAAGAAACAGATGCTAATTACCATTAATAAGTATAAAGCCAGGGATTTAGCTCAGTGGTGCCACTGCCTACATTACAAGTACAACATCCTGAGTTCGATCCCCAGTACAAACACACACATCAAAAGCCAAAAAAAAGTAAGTCAAAATCTCCTGTAGGTAGAGAAAATTCATCAGTTTTCCTCAAAATTGGCATAAAACATTTTCAAGACTCATCTAATCCCTACACCTATGACTATTTAACAAGCACCTTAGTGATTACTAACCTGAGTTCATGTTAACTTTAGATTAGGAAAGCAGTCTTGAATGTTTCAGCAGCTGGAAACAGTCAAGAAGCTTTCATAAGAAGTTTTCTCATGGATCTTAGTTTATATAAGACATTTTTTTGTAGGACTGATTACTTTTAATAGAGTATTCTAAGCAGTTATGAATGGATTAGGAGCAATTACAGATGCACTGATAAAAGCAAATTTCTGACTGAAAACAGAGAATTATATCTACCTGGGAGGTCTTACCTGGGTTGCAGAATTTTTTTAAGTACTGCTATGGCACCAACATACAGCTAAATCTGCTATGAAAGAATCAAATGACTTATATTATAATTAAATGGTAATTCTCCATAAAACAGAGATTTGTCTATTTTTATGTCATTTACAGACTTATGAGTAAACACGTTATATATCTGTAGAGCTGAATTTATTCTGCAATTCATTCTGCAATTCACAAGACATAATCACATCCTCAACTTTAATTATAATTTATTAGAAAACATTCCTATTTTCTAAGAAATAATTATTTTTGGCAATATATTCTTCAATAAAGAGAGGAACAATCCTCATTTTTAAAAAGGGAATTTGCAGCATACTAAAATGTAAGAAACAAGAGACAAGGTTTTATGACAAAAGGTGGAAATCCTGTTAATCCAAATGCTGGGTAAAACATAAAAAATGAAGCTGCACTGGGAATAAAGAAGATTTTTTTTGTTTGTTTGCTTTTTGAGACAGGGTCTCACTATGTAGTTGAGACTGATCTGGAACTCACTATGTAGCCCAGGGTGGTCTCGAACTCACAGCAATCCTCCTGCTTTAGCCTCCTGAGTGCTGGGATTACAGGGGTGTGCCACCACGCCCAAACAGAAGATATTTTGTTTTATTCCCATACATCTTGGTGCATATACTATCTGAAAGAAAATACATTATAGATTAATACCAGAAAAAATTTTCAGTAAATTCTTCAAACACAGGACAAATGCTTAAAAAAAAAACAAAAAAAAAAACATCGCAAATAAACAAAGATTGTTTTTCCAAAGGCAGCCTCTACCTCAATCCAAAAGCAAACACATTTTTAAAGTAATTTTAAAAAGAAAATACGTGGTAAGAGCTAAGTAATGATTTAAAGTGAATTTTTTCTTTTATAATAATCTATCAATTTATTTTCCCCTTGCCTTTGATTTCATTTCTTAAAAGATATTTTGCTGACAAAAGTGATTCGAAGACCTTAAGTGTCAGTGGAAAGACTGACTGTATGAAATATTTTTATGAGTGAGTTGTTCTTACATCATGGATGAAGTTATTCTGGTATGCAAGACTTCAGACAAGGAACATGTTATTTTTCTACTGAACAACCATTTATCTTTATATTAAAAAAAATCAATGTATCTATGTAGAATTCCTTCTAAAATCTGGAACACAATGCATTATTTGCTTTTGGTAAAATTTAAAGAACTACGACTACAATTTTATTAATTATAGCCACATATTCTAAAATTTAATTAAATAAATATAAATTTTCTCTAAAATCCAAAAATGAATGTTATCTGCAACCTTGTACACCTAAAAGATGCTAACTTCATAAAGAAAATAGAGAATGAATTATATCCACCTGAGAGGTGGAAAGAGGAATAAGGCATAGTCAGAACTAAAGGTGTCTCAATGTTGTTCCTTGTGTGTTTGCTTTAAAACTGGTCAAGATTTCTATGAAAAGAGGAGTGAAAGGGATAATATTTATTAAGTGCCAGGATTGGGCCATTAAGGGAAAACAGAACAATGAACGAGGCTGCAGAGTCTAGGTCTTCAGGAACTCAAGGCTAACTCTATTAAAAAGGACTACTAGGGTCTAAGAGGATAAATATTTTAAGAATGATTAGACATCTTAATACATGTATCATTCAACTCTGAAAAAAACCTAGCAATCTAGACAAATAGCACACCACACAAAGCATCCTCCTCTTCCTTTTAAGTATCTGTTTTCCAGATATGTGGACAATACCTGGTTTCTGTGGCACTTCTTTTCTAAGTGGAGAGAAAGAACTTTTAAAATATGCTTATGTAGCATTTATATCTATTCTTTCGAAGTAACAACTTTGTTTCTTTTATATTTTTCTTTGTTTTTAATTTTTTGCAAGTTAAAGAGTTTGTTCCTTTAATATGTCCTATATAAATATCTTCCCAGGGTTAGTATTTGTTGCACATGTGTGCGAATGTATATGTACATATATACATATACACATATTTTTATTTTAATACAGAAACTTACAAATTCTAAGCTGAGTCTATCAATATTTTGGAGGATGATTTTCTAATCCTTTAAATATTAACAAGACTTGTACGCATTTTATTTATTGCACCAGGGATCGAACTTAGATCCTTGTGTTTGCAAGGCAGGCAATGGAACCACTGAGCTAAACCACTGAACTAAATCCCCAGCCCTTGTATGCATTTACATAACAGAAATGTTTGTCAGCATTTTACTCTAGTTTTTATCTTGATATTTATAACTCGTTGGTCATTGAGGATTTGATTTTCATGTGTGACCTAAGACGTAGATGTACACTGACTGCATTTTTCAGTTAACTCACATTTAAAATAGAACAATTTATCTTTTCCCACTGATTTATCTATCTTTATCAACTTGTATCAAGCTGCTTGTATTTTTGGCTTTATAATATGTTTCAGCATCTAGTAAGACAAAAACTGGCTTCATTATTATTTTCTTCTCTCACCTGGTTCTTTGGGAGAAATGTAAAGATAGTGAACTAGTTCCTACATAGATAACCATTTTTTTTTTCCTCTAGGATCCCTGAGGAATTTTGTCACACATCCCAGACTCCTTTAACAACACCAATCAACCACATGCACAATCTATCTCATAATCATCCTTATCAACAATAAAAACTATCCTTTATCAATGGTAATATGTATCAGACACCTGTAAAGTTATTTATATAAATGATCTTGCCAAATCTTAATAGAATCCCCATTTTACAAATGAGAAAATTTGAGCTTTCTTAATTTATCCAGGGTGACAACGCAGGCATAGTTTGGAACTTGTACACAGCATGTATGTATGTAAGCACTTGAGCTCCAGAGCTAAATTCTTAACCATAGTTTCCACCTTTCTCTTTTCTACTACATACACAGGCATACTTGTGAAATTAGTTCTCCAGGCTATTGATCTGATATTTTTGTCTTTTGCTTTTTTTGGTGGTGGTGGGGGACTGGGGATCGAACTTGGGACCATGTGCTTGTGAGGCAGGCATCACTGAACTAAATCCCCAGCCCTTGATCTGGTATTTTTAAGTGTAAACTTTTCCCTTCACAATATGCAATGTGCAATTAACTGAATTTTGTCTTTAAACTTCTTCTTACCTTAGCCAGAAGTCTTTTAAAATCAAAATCTCAGTCTATCTTTAATTAGTAAATCTCTGACTCAATGTATTTCATTGAGGACACAATCTAAAATATTGTTTCCTAAAATAAATTATTTAAGCTGGGCGTGGTGGGGCATGCCTGTAATCCCAGCACTCGGGAGGGTGAGGCAGGAGGATTGCTATCAATTCAAAACCAGCCTGGGCTACATACGGAGTTTCAGGTCAGCCTCAACTAATAGTGAGACCCTGTCTCAAAAAAAGAAAAAATCATTTAAAATATGCTTTTTAAGGTATATCTTTTTAATGGCATTCTTGACTTAGGTGAGATTTATTTTTCGACCTTCCAGTGGTTTGTGTGCAGTGCCTAGGCTTATTTCTGGTAACTTTAGACATTCTTATTATTTGGTCTACTGAACTGAAGCAGAATCTTCTGTTTCTGTGTTTACCTTTTTGGGTTGTTAGGGACATTTACTCCTGTGATACTCAGTATGTCTTTTCATTAAATGACATTAATTTTGGTAATAATTTATCTTGCTTTTACTTTATTGACCTTTTGGTCTCTTTCACTAGCTTTTATATAATGTTCCACACCACTTTAGCAGCAGAAAAGGCTCAACAATAATACAATGAAAAAAAATCAGTTATTGCTTTTTCATAAACTTAGAAATGTTTCAAAAAAAATAGCATGGGAGATTCTACAAATAGTATTTTAACATATAAAACCACAAAACTTCTACCTGTTTTTTTGAACAGAGATGGTATCTGTGTACCACACAAATCATGCCTATCTTAAAAGGCTACTAAATTAAAGGCCATGTGACAATTATATAAGTAGATTATTAGAAGAGACTGCCTTACATTATAGTTGAATATTTGCTATCAACAGAAGATTTAATGCAATTTGAGGCAAAGTATTTAAAATTTTACTGTTCCCTGCAGGGTCTTATATGTACCAGGTAATTAATAAACATTTGAGGTAACTGAGTTATCTTTATTCCAACTGGTGAAGCCCAACCTGCAAAGCCAAATTATACCTGGTCAGCAATTCTATAAAAGTTGTGCACAGTGTAGAGGGCCTGGCTAGTCTTAGCCACAGGCAGAGGTTGAAAGTAGGCAGTCAACTAGTCAGTACATGACTATACGGTGAAAATAAGACAATGCAAATTAGAGAATAGGAAATCAAGGAGAAGACCAAAGTTGGGAAAATGTCAACAATTGGAAAGCTTTGGGAAGACAAAATTGAAGGGACAGACTGATTTCCCTGAAATGAAGACCCACAAAAGAATGGCCAAAATAAAAAATGCTGTTTGTATAAAGGGAATTTCAGAATTCAATTTGTTTGAGTCACCACATACATCTAATTGTTAGTTATGGAAAATCAGTTATGCAGACCATATATAAAGACAATATTAGAATTGCCTTCAAGGAGCTTGCAATTTAGAAAAGGCCCTGAAACTCACAGATAAGGATTGTGAACTAGACTAGCTATCTTCAACATACAATCCTTTGAACAAGTTGACAGAAACAAACAAAAAAAAATCACAGGGTCACCTAGACCTACTGAGTCACAAACCCTAGGAACGGAGCCTGGCAACCTGAGCATCAACAAACCTGCCAGGTTATTCTAACACACAATGAAGTTTGAGAACCACTGAAGGAAATGTGACATTTTAGGCAGGATTTTATGGAACTTTGAATGCCTGAGACAAACTATTTGTCTGCATGCTATCTGTCTTTCCAAAGAGTGGTCCTGTGGTATAACCCTTAAACTACCATCTTGTTCTTCTGCAATCCTACTAAGCAGGACTGAGATGGCCAGTTTCTCTTCCTTTCCTAGAAGATGGAAACACTCATGCATCAAGTCCAAACTGTGGTCTTCTGATTCGGAGGAGCCCTCCCTGGTCTTTATGGAGATATGATACCAGGACAGCATGATGTATTATCCTAAATTTAGTCTTGTCTACTGCAATTAACGACTACAGAACAAGTACCTGAAAGAAACTACAAAAGTATAAAAATACCTAGTTTTGAGAAATTAACTTACTTCGTAAAAATTTATTGGCATAGCAATGTAAAACATGAAAGAAATGATTCTAAAATACCAACTGCATAAAATAATTAAACGTACTGTGACAGTTTCGAGTCTCTGTTTTACTATCTGCATCTTTGTGGAAGAATTATCAGTGTATACAAATTCACCAATCTGAGAAGAGCCTTGATGAGGTAGTTTAGGACAGGTACACAGAGCATCTTGAATTTGGTGTTTTCCAGGTGATGGCAATGTTGCACTGTAGCATCTGAATATGTCACCTTTCTGCTGGGTCACTGAAAAAAATAAATCCAAAATTATTTCAAATTATCATAGCAAAAGCACAATAATTAAGCCATGAAATTGCAGCATTCAACAAATGAACAGAATTTGCATAATATTTTATTTATTGTACCAGAGACTGAATATTTTAAATACTGGGTTACAGGAAGTTAACATGATTGGCAAAATGTAAAATTATTATTTACTATAAAACCAAAAGGAAAGAAATATAATAATATTATAATTTCACGTCAGGCAACATTATACTTTAGCCTTGAAAGTCATACAGATTTAAATGAGAATCTACGTTTAAATTATCTATACAGAGAAAACATAATAAAAAAATTCAAGGCCTAATAGTATTTAGAGAAATGAGAAAGTTTTAGAAATAATTATTCACAAACCATCTCCCTAAAACTTTTTACATTTCCATATCTCTTCTAATATTTGTAGATATATATTTACATAAAATATCATAATGTAAGTATAATTCAACATTTTCAATTTTAATATATTTATCATATTTCTACAATATCATTCTAAAGTGCTTTACATTATTTCATCTAACGAAGTGGAATAACTTAAAATGAATTTTTCTATTAGTAATTAGCAAGATCATGTCTAAAATAAAAAACAAAAAACAAAAAATGCTGGGTATGTAGCTTAGTGCAAAGGCCCTGGGTGTGATCCCTGATACTGTGAAAAGAAGGAAGGAAGGGAGGCAAGAAAAATGAAGGGAGGAAGGGAGGGAAGGAAGGAAGTAGGGAAGGAAGGAAGGAAGTCAGGAAGTCATTAACTGCATACTTTTGAAATAGAGGGCCTTTGTAAAAATGACCTGAAAGGAAGAAATTTCAAAATGTGGGATCGAAACATGGATCGAAACAGTGATGAGCCTTCAGAGATTCTGTGCAAGTTACAAACACATGGGTGTCCAAATGGGTGCACAAATGTTTTGAAAAGGAGATTCATTACTTTGATTAGATTATCCATCAAAGAGTTACATGAGTCAGAAAGATTAAGAATTGTCAACATTTTTTTGGGGAAATAGGACAGATTTTGCTACAAGAACTTTAAAGAATCTTCATTAAAATAAATACTACCACAATAAAAATTAAAAAGTAAATGACAGGTAATAGAATTATTCTATTTCTGGCCAAAAAGAAGCAAAAAGGAACTAGATTTTTCTCTTCTGCTTGCAACTATCAAAAAATGCACAAAAAGTACAAATGAAAAAAAACTGTTTTTGCAAGAAATACTAATGTACACATAATACAAAGACTGGGTTAAGCAAAGAGAGCCATGTAATAGAAACAATCTAAAGAGGACTCATTCTTAGATCCTAGGCCTAAATCTGGGTAAAAACTCTGAATGGAATTTAAAATACAATCCGCTAGAATTAAAAATTGACTTTAGCTAAATTGTAGGATATGAGATTAATATACAAAAATTAAGTAATGAGGGCCAGGGATTTAGCTCAGTGCCTCACAAAAGCAAGAAACTGAGTTCGATCCTCAGTACCAAAAACAAACAAACCCCCAAAATTAAGTAATGCTATTGGTGTGAAGATAAAGAGATCCACCTATATAACAGAATAGAGAACACAGCATGTATAGACAAGGTGTAAAGGTAATTCAGTGGAGAAAGGTCAGTCTTTTCAGTAAATGGTATGGGAAGAGCTGGATTTTCATATGCTAAAAAATGAATTGATTCAACTTTATACCATGCACAAAAAATAACTCAAAATGAAGCACAGATCTAAATATAAAACCTAAAACTATGAAACATCTAGAATTAAATGCAGAAGAATACATTTATGAGCCTGGATTAAGCAAGATTTCTTATATTCAACAGTAAAATCCATAAAAGAACAAACTGATAAATATGGACTTCAAAATTCCAAACATTTGTTTTTTGAACAGTTAAGACAACTAAAAGACAGGTCAAAGATTGGGGGAAAATATCTAACAAATAATACATCAGATATAAAACATGTATACAGAACTCTTAGATTATAAGTGAAAAGTCAGAAAATTAAAAATGTGGCAAAAGATCTGCACAGACACTACACTAAATATGCGATCAGGATGATAAGAATGAAAAAAGGTAGAATTAACCTCATTAGTCACTAAGTAAATTAAAACCTCATTGAAATACTACTGCATATCTATCAGAATGCCTAAAATTAAAAAGATTGGCCATTTCAAATTTGGCAAGGATGTGGAGATACAGGCACATTCCTACATTACTGGTGGGAATGTAATAGCATGACTACTTTAGAGAAGAGATTTGCAGCTTCTTCAGAAGTTATACATCTGCAATATGATACTGCCCTTCTAATCTTAGGAATGTAAGGGAAACAAAAGTTTATGTCTAAATAAAGACTTAAACATGAATTCTTAGAGTGGTTTTATTTGCAATAACTAAAAACTGGATACAAGCTAAGAAGAAACAATCATAAACTGGTATATCTGCACACTGAAACAATAGTCAGCAATTAACACTATAACTATTGATAAACATTACCATACAGACGAATCTCAAAGTAATTATGAATAAAAGAAACCAGAGCAAAAGAATACATGGCATACACTGCTTAGTTTATACACAATTCTGGGACATACAAAATAATTCATAGTGGTTGTTGAGGGTAAAGGGAGCTAGGGTATGATTTAAAGGTACACTAACTTTGAGGATGATGCATATGTTCATTATCTTAATTGAGATGATGGTCTCACAAGTGTATACATATCCCACTTATGAGAGCATATGATTTAAATATATGAAGTTTACTGTATGTAATTATATGGCAATAAAGCTGTTCACATAAAGCAAATGAAAAATGATGATAAAAGTGTAATTATTCCTAATATGCAGAGAGTAATTATAATATCCATTTAAAATTAGTAATACAACAGAAAATAGGCAAAGAATCATTAGAGAAAGTTCACAAGAACCATGTGGGCAATAAAAAAAATTCAACAATGAAAAAATAAAAAGGAGGAAGTGATGGGGGGGCTGTTAAACTGACCCACAGTACCTCACCAAACTTATTTTCATCAACCATGAGTATAAAATAAATATAAAAAATTTTAAGGCTTTGGTCTTTATATTCATACACTACCTTATTTGGGCTCTCTGAAGGAAGAGTAGCCTACTAGTAACTAGTGTTTTCGACATGCACACAGATGATGATAAGTACCAGAGGACATACGGGGAGAAGACCTGCTGACTAGCCTGTCTTTCAGTGATGCGCTCTCTTCAGGACCAGCTATTATTCTTACATTTAAGTGTAGCCATTCCTCTGCAGATTTTCATGGATCTATTTTTTTTTTAAGTGTATACTTTGGACTGTTGCTGGAAAAATCAGATTATCTATTTTATCCTCAAATATTCAAAGACTAAAGAAAAAGACAAACTTTAAAGCTGTAAAAAATAAGTGCACAAAGTGCTTTCTGGGTTGGAATTTGGAAGGTTTACCACTAGAGGAGATAGCTTCAGGGTTAACTCAACAAGTGTATATTGTTTCATCTTCTTTGCTTTTGAAAACTGTCCTTTCAACATTTAACAGTTCATTTTCCTGTTATGAAGGGAAAGTAAAGCTGAATATAATTATTTAGTGGCATGTGTGACTTCCTATGTTCTCTAAGTTTCTGAACTTGCCAATCATGATTTCACTTTAACCCATAAGCTACTAAGTGTGCAGAAAAATGAGCTAAAAGCATAAATAGTTACAAGTAAAAAGTTTGTAGAATTTTGATATTTTTCAGCTTATTTTTTGTTCAACTATATTTCATGAATATTATATAATATTCTAAACATATTTTTCTAACATTTTTTAAATTGGTAAACAGTAAGAAAAGGCACTGCTTAAATATTATCTGTTTTTACATTTTTTCAGGTACACATTAAGGTATCTTTCATAAAGGGTTAATACACATTTTTGTTTTGTTTAGTTTTTTTGAGACAGGGTCTCACTATGTAGTTGAGAATGACCTGGAACTCACTATGTAGCCCAGGGTGGTCTCGAACTCACAGCGATCTTCCTGCCTCAGCCTCCTGAGTACTGAGATAACAGGCATGTGTCACCACGCCCAGCTGGGTTAACATACTTTAAATAAATGCAGATAAAAATTAAATGCAAACAGTCATAGGTACTTATCTCTCTTGTGTGAAGAGAATTTTTTGATACAAAACCTATCTGACTCTATTTCAAGGATTCAAATGAACACACCAGACTGTATCTTTAGCACGTTTAGTTCTAGGCAGACAGCCATAAAAATTTCTGCAGTAAAGTTCACAAAAACCTAGTTTCAAAACAGAAGCTGCTTATAATTTAGGAGCTCTTCCTCCTTTTCCCTCCACAAATGTACACATCAATCCATTTGTACAAGACACATGCTTTCCCATTGTAAAATAGGTTTTTTTTTTTGGTACCAGGGATCGAACTTGGGTCCTTGTGCTTGCATGGCAGACGGCAGAACCACTGAGCTAAATCCCCGGTGTAAAATAGGTTTTAATAGATGATTTCTGATATTCCTTCAGGCTTGATACCTTTAACATCTCAAATACTTCTAAAATACTTTTATGCCATGTTTTATCATTTTTTTCTTCTCTGTGCCAATTAGTATGTTTGTTTAATACTTAGCTCTGACCTAACCTGGTATGTTTAAAAGTCACATTTTTAACAGTCTCATCCTCACCTTTTCATCACTTTTTGAGGGGTCACTAATACGTTTATGCACCAGAGTAGGCTCTGGGAACAAAAAGACACCAACTCCTCTTGGGGTTTCAACATTCTGGGGGTGAACAAATTCCTGCAAGGTGCTAAAGTGGTACAGCGGAAGAAAGGACAAGGTGGGCATACACATAGGTGGCAACTACATTTGCTCTGAAGAATGCTGTGTCTGCCAAAGTGCTTATACACATACCTCCAATAGGCTATTATTTGGGAATCTAAATTTTACGGAATTAAAAATATTCCTAATATTATGTTTGCATAACAAATCCCTGAATT